ATACAGTGGCAGCTGCATTCATAATCATATAGACAATATCCCCATTGTCTATAGCCGGTATGAATGTCGACTGAATTATTTGTTTTCTCCTATTTATGGAAAGGCATGACCTATTTCTATAAAATAAGGCCATTTTAATTCTTAACTAACTCATCAACATGCTTTTTGAAAGATTAGCTTTTCATCAATCCGGGATGCCCAGATATTTATAAGCGTGGACACGATTAATGAGGGCACCATCCATGCATAAATCATCAGATACATTTGTACGTGATTTGGAGAATAACATATACTTGGTTTAACCTGCATTAAGTACCAATTTCAGTTCAACAAAGGTAGGGCACACTGTAGAAAAATGTTTTGAAACGGAAAATGAAATGAGTGTTTCTTATCCAGGTAATACAGTGCCTTCCACTAATATTGGCACCCCCTTGATAAATATGAGCAAAACGGGCTGTGAAATCTTATCTTCTTGGTCTTTCATTCAAAATATTCACAAAAATCGAACCTTTAATTGAAGTAAAATGGTTGAAAGAAATAAATGTGAAATAAATATTTTTCTCTGAAATTATTGGCAAACCTAGAAATTCTTATGAGTAAAATCTAACTGAAGTATATTCCCATTCATATTTTACGTTTTTAAGTTCACCTGAGTGATTAGGAACACTTAAGTGGTAAGCCACGACTTCCTGTTTCACTGGGGTATAAATATGAGGTGACACACAGGCCAAGTTCCCATTGTCATCCATCACTATGGGAAAGACCCGAGAATACAGTAATGATGTGCGACAAAAGGTTGTTGAACTGCACAAATCCGGAAATGGCTATAAGAAAATGGCTCAACAGTCGGAAATGCCCATTTCCACTATCAGGGCAATAATTAAGAAGTTTAAAGCAACTGTTGATGCTAACAATCGGCCTGGAAGAGGACGTGTCTCTATATTGACCCCACGCACAGTGAGGAGTGGGTTCGAGTGGCCAAAAAATCTGCAAGGATCACAGCTGGAGAATTGCAGACGATAGTTGGGTCTTGGGGTCAGAAAGTCTTCAAAACTACGATCAGATGACACCTACATAACCACAAGTTGTTTGGGAGGGTTGCTATAAAAAAGCCTTTGCTGTCATCAAACAACAAACTCAAGCGCCTACAGTTTGCCAAACGTTACTGGAACTTTCAATGGGACCGGGTGCTATGGTCAGATGAGACCAAAATAGTCCCTCCTTGGTGGTTGGATCTTCCAGCAGGACAATGATCCAAAACACACCTCAAAATCAACACAAAAATGGTTCACTGACCACAGAATCAATGTTTTGCCATGGCCATTCCAGTCCCCTGACCTAAACCCCATTGAAAACCTGTGGGATGAGCTGAAGGAGCAGAAGAGATCCTGTATGGAGGAATCGTCTCAGATCCCTTGCCATGTGTTCTCCAACCTCATTACGCATTATAGGAGAAGACTCAGAGCTGTTATCTTGGCAAAGGGAGGTTGCACAAAGTATTGAATGAAGGGTGCCAATAATTGTAGCACACACATACAGTGGGGAGAACAAGTATTTGATACACTGCCGATTTTGCAGGTTTTCCTATTTACAAAGCATGTAGAGGTCTGTCATTTTTATCATAGGTACACTTCAACTGTGAGAGACGGAATCTAAAACAAACACGGCGAGTGGAGTTTAGACCAAAAAGCTCTATTTTTGTCTCATCAGACCACATGACCTTCTCCCATTCCTCCTCTGGATCATCCAGATGGTCATTGGCAAACATCAGACGGGCCTGGACATGCGCTGGCTTGTGCAGGGGGACCTTGTGTGCGCTGCAGGATTTTAATCCATGATGGTGTAGTGTGTTACTAATGGTTTTCTTTGAGACTGTGGTCCCAGCTCTCTTCAGGTCATTGACCAGGTCCTGCCGTGTAGTTCTGGACTGATCCCTCACCTTCCTCATGATCATTGATGCCCCAAGAGGTGAGATCTTGCATGGAGCCCCAGACCGAGGGTGATTGACCGTCATCTTGAACTTCTTCCATTTTCTAATAATTGCGCCAACAGTTCTCACCAAGCTGCTTGCCTATTGTCCTGTAGCCCATCCCAGCCTTGTGCAGGTCTACATTTTTATCCCTGATGTCCTTACACAGCTCTCTGGTCTTGGCCATTGTGGAGAGGTTGGAGTCTGTTTGAGTGTGTGGACAGGTGTCTTTTATACAGGTAACGAGTTCAAACAGGTGCAGTTAATACAGGTAATGAGTGGAGAACAGGAAGGCTTCTTAAAGAAAAACGAACAGGTCTGTGAGAGCCGGAATTCTTACTGGTTGGTAGGTGATCAAATACTTATGTCATGCAATAAAATGCAAATGAATTACTTAAAAATCATACAATGTGATTTTCTGGATTTTTGTTTTAGATTCTGTCTCTCACAGTTGAAGTGTACCTATGATAAAAATTACAGACCTCTACATGCTTTGTAAGTAGGAAAACCTGCAAAATCGGCAGTGTATCAAATACTTGTTCTCCCCACTGTATTTGAGAAAAATATTAGTTTTATGATAATTCATTTTTTCTTTCAATTATTTTACTTTAATTAAAGGTTAGATTTTTGTGAATATTTTGAATGAAAGACCAAGAGGATAAACAATAAATTAAAAAAATTAAAAGCCCGTTTTGCTCATATTTACCAAGGGTGTCAATATTAGTGGAGGGCACTGTAAATACCTCCTGTTTCATTCAGTTTCCAAACGGTTTCTGGCAGATGGGTTCCCCCTCTTAACACCTCTTCAGTTTATGATGATTCATTCTGATTCATATCCCCGGGTGGTTTTGCTCTATGCGTCTCCTGAAGGCCTTGTGGGAACAGAACAGACATTTGAGATGTAGTTTATATCCAGCCAGGGAGGGAACACCTCTGGGGAAACGAGCAGAGGGAGGAAGTAAACCCACCATAAACGATCAAATGAATACCATGTTGTCTTCCCCATATTAAACATAACATCCATAGTGTTTCATGAATGAAGAAAACCTTGATGCATTCCCAATACTCCTGGGATGCTAGGTACTGTAAATGGAAAGACCACCTCGGATAGATCACTCCTAATATTCATTCTATATTCATGCAATATTCCCTTTACATTACTGATAGGAATGTTCACTCACAGAAATAGAATAGATAGTGTTATACGTTATATACTGTATCTCTGTGCGATTGCCATTATCAGGAATGGGTAGTGTTTCTTCACATAGTCTTTCAGCCGCTCTGTTGAAGTGGTGTCATTATGCTATCTGCTATCTTTTCTGTTATGACAGCCTAGTGTACATTACACTGTGTTTAGCAGCTGCTAATGGGTGAGAGATTATGTGACGACAGTCAGTACACACAAAGAAGACAGCATCTGCACTTAGACATAATCCTGGCAAGCCAAGGTGTCAAGTGAGAGTTGACCTAGTGGAGCCAGGAGTTGCATGCATTATGCTGGCCCCAGTAGAGGTTCCTCAGAGGAGGAAGGGGAGAACCATCCTCCTCAGTGAATGTAATAAAAATAAAAATTGTAAAACATTAAAAAAGTTATCCCTTTTAGATAAAACTATACTAAATATAATCACGTCACCAAATAATTGATTAAAACACACAATTTTGCAATGAAGGTCTACAGTAGCCTCAACAGCACTCTGTAGGGTAGCACCACGGTGTAGCTGGATGATAGCTCGCTACCGTCCTCCTCTGGGTACATTGACTTCAATACAAAACCTAGGAGGCTCATGGTTCTCACCCCCTTCCATAGACTTACACAGTAATTATGACAACTTCCGGAGGGCGTCCTCCAACCTATAAGAGCTCTTACAGCATGAACTGACATCATGTCCACCCAATCAAAGGATCAGAGAATGAATCTAGTACTGAAAATATAAGCTACAGCTAGCTAGCACTGCAGTGCATAAAATGTGGTGAGTAGTTGACTCAAAGAGAAAGAAAGACAATAGTTTAACAGTTTTTAACAGATTAATGTATTCCAAAATGAAGGAGAAGCAAGAGAGGGAGAGATATTTCATATTTTTATTTTCACTTTTATTTTCACGTAGCAAGTGCAGCTAGCTAGTTTATCTTACTCAAACACCCTGCTCAAACAGAGGTATGCTATGTTAGCTAGCTGGCTATGACTATCCAACACAACACTGGAAATCTTCCAAGTCAAGGTAAGCTTTTGGTTTTACTAATGTATTGTCACTGGGGCCCGCCGGTGTAAGTGCTAAACTGCTTACTGACCGTACACTGTAACATTACTGCATGATTGTAGAGGGTTTACTAACATGTTAGTTGTATTAGCTATGTTGACTATGACGTTACTTTAACTAATATGGTGACAACGATGTAGGCTGTGTGTAGCGGTTATGATATAGTTTGGCTTACATACAGCTGATGTGTTGTGCATTGAAGTCCACAACCGAAGGGAAAAGGTGAGAGGAGGAGAGCGCATAATTCGAGAAGGAATACAACATGGCTGCTATGAAAGCGTGATCAGGGGTGTATTCGTTCTGCCGATTCTGTTGAAAAACGTTTCTTAAACTGAAACAAAACGGGGATAAACATACCTGAATTTGTCCAATAGAAAGTCTTGTTTGCAACTGTTAGACTAATGATTCCACCCTATATCAGCTAGATGCAGGCAAGAGTGTGCAAGGCGGTATTAAATGTGTCACTGTCTGTCCATGTGTCACTCTGTCACCTCAAATCTCTCTCTTGACCTGTGTGCACCTACGTTATAAACTTTCATTCATAGCTTAGGTTGAAGCAACCTCATTATTTGTATAGGGAACATTTGAGTATCATGTAGTGGCCTAAACCTATCACTGTTACATTGAACTGGGTGAATGGAATATGAATGACAGTCATCCAATATGCTGTAATAGAAATAAGGCCATGCTCATGAAAGAAAGGAAAAAAAATCTTCCCTCATCTTAAACAGCACCGACCGCCACTTCATGAAACAGTGTAATGTACCTATGTTTGCAGTGCGGGTCCAAAAGGAGACAACATCTATGAGTGGAGATCCACTATCCTGGGACCACCAGGCTCTGTGTACGAGGGAGGGGTCTTCTTCCTAGATATCGCCTTCACACCAGACTACCCCTTCAAACCACCCAAGGTAAAGACTCCAGTCAAAACAGCTGACTCAAACAATGAATAGAACATTCCTCGAGATTACACAGCTATGTAGGCTACCACTTTCTCACTAGAGAAGGGAACTTGTTATTGCCATATTGACCACTGGAGGGAGCTATGGCACTTGGATTTTATTGAAATGCTGGGCCTCTAGTTCAATGCAAATTTCAAATAGTTAATGGTCAATGTAACCAAACCAACCAAACAAGACTCAAAAAGGCTTAAATGGAAATGTGGCTTCCATGATTAGACTGAACATCGGTTTCCATCCTCCAAGCAATGTTGAGTAGATTCTTTCCATGTTGCTTTCAGGATCTACCACTGTAACATAAACAACAGTCAGGGTGTATTGATATAGATCTACTTCATTTTGTTTCCTAGGTGACGTTCCGTACCAGGATCTACCACTGTAACATCAACAGTCAGGGTGTGATCTGTTTGGACATTCTGAAGGACAACTGGAGCCCCGCCCTCACCATCTCCAAGGTGCTCCTTTCCATCTGCTCCCTGCTCACTGACTGCAACCCTGGTAAGACCTAAGACACCATATACTACTATAATGTGGGTTCGATTGAAATTCATTGATTACAGTGGCTGATTTGAAGTGGATTGTAGAGTGTAATCTCAAACATTGTCATACAGTGAGGGAAAAAAGTATTTGATCCCCTGCTGATTTTGTATGTTTGCCCACTGACAAAGAAATGATCAGTCTATAATTTTAATGGTAGGTTTATTTGAACAGTGAGAGACAGAATAACAACAAATAAATCCAGAAAAACCTATGTCATAAATGTTATAAATTGATTTGCATTTTAATGAGGGAAATAAGTATTTGACCCCCTCTCAATCAGAAAGATTTCTGGCTCCCAGGTGTCTTTTATACAGGTAACGAGCTGAGATTAGGAGCACACTCTTAAAGGGAGTGCTCCTAATCTCAGCTTGTTACCTGTATAAAAGACACCTGTCCACAGAAGCAATCAATCAATCAGATTCCACCATGGCCAAGACCAAAGAGCTCTCCAAGGATGTCAGGGACAAGATTGTAGACCTACACAAGGCTGGAATGGGCTACAAGACCATCGCCAAGCACCTTGGTGAAAAGGTGACAACAGTTGGTGCGATTATTCGCAAACGGAAGAAACACAAAAGACCTCTCAATCTCCCTCGGCCTGGGGCTCCATGCAACATCTCACCTCGTGGAGTTGCAATGATCATGAGAACGGTGAGGAATCAGCCCAGAACTACACGGGAGGATCTTGTCAATGATCTCAAGGCAGCTGGGACCATAGTCACCAAGAAAACAATTGGTAACACACTACGCCGTGAAGGACTGAAACCCTGCAGTGCCCGCAAGGTCCCCCTGCTCAAGAAAGCACATATACAGGGCCGTCTGAAGTTTGCCAATGAACATCTGAATGATTCAGAGGAGAACTGGGTGAAAGTGTTGTGGTCAGATGAGACCAAAATCGAGCTCTTTGGCATCAACTCAACTCGCCGTGTTTGGAGGAGGAGGAATGCTGCCTATGACCCCAAGAACACCATACCCACCGTCAAACATGGAGGTGGAAACATTATGCTTTGGGGGTGTTTTTCTGCTAAGGGGACAGGACAACTTCATCGCATCAAAGGGACGATGGACGGCGCCATGTACCGTCAAATCTTGGGTGAGAACCTCCTTCCCTCAGCCAGGGCATTGAAAATGGGTCGTGGATGGGTATTCCAGCATGACAATGACCCAAAACACACGTCCAAGGCAACAAAGGAGTGGCTCAAGAAGAAGCACATTAAGGTCCTGGAGTGACCTAGCCAGTCTCCAGACCTTAATCCCATAGAAAATCTGTGGAGGGAGCTGAAGGTTCGAGTTGCCAAACGTCAGCCTCGAAACCTTAATGACTTGGAGAAGATCTGCAAAGAGGAGTGGGACAAAATCTCTCCTGAGATGTGTGCAAACCTGGTGGCCAACTACAAGAAACGTCTGACCTCTGTGATTGCCAAAAAGGGTTTTGCCAGCAAGTACTAAGTCATGTTTTGCAGAGGGGTCAAATACTTATTTCCCTCATTAAAATGCAAATCAATTTATAACATTTTTGACATGCGTTTTTCTGGATTTTTTTGTTGTTATTCTGTCTCTCACTGTTCAAATAAACCTACCATTAAAATTATAGACTGATCATGTCTTTGTCAGTGGGCAAACTTACAAAATCAGCAGGGGATCAAATACTTTTTTCCCTCACTGTATGTGGAATTCCGTGTGTGCGTACTGGCAGGTCAAAGCTATCGTTGATGCCCTATCTATAACTCTGTATTCTCCACCCCTCACAGCTGACCCTCTGGTAGGAAGCATCGCCACCCAATACACAACCAACAGACCAGAGCATGACAGGATAGCCAAACAGTGGACCAAGAGATACGCCACATAGATACACAGGACTGGGTCGTATTCATTAGGCACCAAAACTGAAGAAAATGTACTGAAACAAGGAGGGACTACTTGGACTTGTCCAATAACAAACGTTAATTTGTTTCCCGTAGCAAAACCTTTTCTGTTGCATGCCCTAACGACTACGACCCTGGGCAACATGAGAGGGGGAGGTTGGTGGGTGTTGGAGAGCTCCTTCTGGGATGACTCGGGGACTGTTCGTGTTGGGGTCAGGAGTGGGGAAAGGAGGGTAGAGAATAGGGGAGGATTTTTATCTTGGAATTTAAGTCTTATCTCCTGATATTTTGTTGTTTATTATGGTATTTTTTAAGTTCCCCGGCCTGTATATTATAATTGCGATTTTGGCAATAATGCTTTTCAATGTGTTTTCCTTAACGTTCTATAAATTATGAATTTTTAGCTAATTGTTATTCGAAATGAAATTATTTCTAAATTTTTTTGGCTGCTTGTATAAAGGTGTCACACACAGCATGGTTTCCTGGTAAAATTCCAAATCTCATGTCAATGTGAATTTTTTACAGATATTAAAGTTACCGTTGGTGTAAGTTCTCTTGCATATATCTATAATTGAATCTGCTATAACATATTGCTGAAACATTGGTATTGTAGCCTATACAGCACATAATGTCTAGGTGGGAAAGTTTTGCTTAATGTGTTGCTGATTTAATACAGTCCCTCCATTTATTGTTAAATTGAAATATATGCGCATATGTCAGAAAACAATGAACAACAAAAAATTTAAAATAAGTAGCAGCACAAAATATAACTTTTTTGGCTAGGTCTCACACACAAGACATGAAGGACACAGGCAATGTTCCAATTCTCTCTTCCAAAGTGTACATGTCTTCACTTCAATTCACTGAATTGAAAGGAAATGACTGGTATAAGAAATATAGTGGAAACTCCTGCCCCGTGCCTCCACCAATCCAATGCTTTTAGATTTGTAGTAGTGAACGAGTGTACACTTCAGGAGAAAGGATATATTATTTGGACGCACTACAGAATCCACATTCTCTTCACAACAATTCAGAAATACATTTCATTCAGACAATTCTGTCCTACATTTTATCCCATTCCTACCCACTAGGAATTTAAGTTTAGTAAAGTGACAAATAAATTAGGTCAATAAAAACGTTCTCAAACATGTACAAAGAAAATAAAATACACAGGTTTTGTATTTAACAAATACACTAAAACAACCATTTAGGGGACAACTGATGAAACAGACATTTGATAATCACAGACATGAGCAACAGACCTGATCAAGGTAGTACCATTTTAAAAAATATATATTGCTACTGGGCCATACACTAGGTAGTAAAGTGGTAATAGGCCATACACACTAGGTAGTAATATGCCTCACTCCAAAGGCACATTATATGGGCCTAGACCTTGCTGTAAAGTGGCTACTTTAGCCCTCCAATAGGACGGGGAACACTGAAACCATAGGGGTGTATGATACCACAAAGCAGGCTTACCAATTTAGCCAGCTTACTTTGATAAACATTAAGATGCATCTCTTGATTTGCTAGTTCATTTAAAAAAAGCTTTATTTTAAGGGAAAGGGAATATAATATGGGTTGTTGGTTGTCGAGTCAGTTACTATGTCTATGCCCATATTTCATGGCGATCTATCTTGATATGAAGTCAGAATATGAATCTAAGTTGGCTGGCTAACTCATCGATCCTACTCCGTGACATATCTCCCACCCTGAAGTACTTAGGTGCGCTCGAGGTTGAGTTCAGTTCAGATGTCATTGGACGGCGTGCCCTTGCTCTTGCGTCCTGGAAGAGGGAAGGCAGACTTGCTCTGAGGCTGTGTGAGGCGGCTGGTGAGCATGGTGAAGGGTTCGATGAGAGAGTTCCTCTCAGTGACGCTGACCTCCCATAGCTTGACCTTCTCCCCCCGCGCCCACTGCTGCGCTGCCTCCTGCTCCACCTGACGAAGCTCACGCAGGTCCGTCTTGTTCCCTAGCACGATCACCATCACCTGGAGGAAGAGGGGACACTCCAACTAAACTCAACAACAATAGTATAAGGTTATAATTGTCCCCTGTAGCTCAGTTGGTAGAGCATGGCGCTTGCAATGTCAGGGTTGTGGGTTCGTTTCCCACGGGGGGCCAGTATGAAGATGTATGCACTCACTAACTGTAAGTCGCTCTGGATAAGAGCGTCTGCTAAATGACTAAAATGTAAAATGTAAATGTAAAAAATTTTCTGATTTCTGTTTATAGGTTGTTTTTTTTATTCTGGCCACTGTGCTTGCTCTTTGGGGTCTAGGACAGGTTAGAATAAAAGCACTGTGACAACTGCTGATGTAAATATGGCTTTATAAATACATTTGATTGATTAGCTGTCTATGGCCAAAACAATAAACGAAACCTGGCTCACTTGACTAAAATTTAAACAAAACCACACACACTTACCAACCCTTAGGGAGAGTTTCAATCAATCACAATCCCCATTACCTCTTTCTTGTCTCTGGATTTGTCTATCTCCTTCTTCAGGACGTCCACCTTCTTGAAGGACTCCAGGCTGTCCACACTGTAGACCAGCACAAAGCCGTCTGCCACAGAGTAGTAGTGCTTGGGAAGGTCCAGGCCGTCGTGGAGCCCCCTGGTGTCATAGAGACGTAACTGTTCCTTCACACCGCGGTCTGTCTCCACCGACGCCACATACACATCCTCCTGGGTCTCAGTGGACTCTGAACCTGCAACAGACAGGAGACAATGGAATTCAATGGTTGTGTTCAACACAACTGTCTGGTAGGTAGGCAGTGCTCACTCAACTCTCGGTGAAAAACAGTATCTATATTCTATAGTATGCATTGGTTTCCTTTGGCCACAACAAGCCCACACCATGCCGGACGGTCTTTAGTAGTTCTCTGTTTTACCCCAGACCATGCATGGTCTTCCATTCACCTTCATATCACGCCACGCATAAACTTAGTTACAGATTTCATCTGCAAAAGTTGTGTTGTGAAAGAAGTGCAGAACATTGTTTTGCTCCCAATAACTGGACATTCCAGACTAGTGTCCAATGCAAATTCCCTTTTAACACTACAAGCACATTTTATACAGTGCTAATCTCTCAAGTACAGCCAAGTTCAAATGTACAGTCAATTCACAGTTATCAACTTACCAACTGCGTGATTGCCATATAACAGCTGTTCAAGGATGGCTGTTTTTCCTACAGATGCCAAACCACACACCACAACTTTGCATCCTTTCCCCATTTCGAATACGCGAAAACCTGCAATAGCACAAAAATAAATGTCAAATAAGTAACGTTAGAAAGATGAGCTAAATAACCAGCTCAAGCATATTCGTCAACATCGCATCAAAGTTACCCTCAAGTTAACGTAGCTAGCTTGATACGATAAAACAAATACCTTGGTTTAAAATCTGGCAGTTTGCCGCACGGAGAGATTACAATTATTATTGCAGTAAACTGGGTAGCTAGCCAACTTTGAAGTTATTTAGCTAGCTAAAATCACAGCATCAATTCTCTTTTGACAACAAGGAAGTTCCAATGATTTTCTGCGCATGTGCAGAGGCGAGGGGAGCGGCGAATTTGGAGAAAAAAATGCACTGTATAAATAACACATACATTTATTTATTCATATGCATTAATAAATGTAAAATATAAACGTATATTACCAGCTACCAATGAGAATGGTAAAATCGACAAAAGTGTAGTGGACCAAATCTCAATGTACTAAATACTAAATACATTTATTTCAATCTGGTTGTGTTCTAAAAGGTCAAGACCATCAAAATCCCAGGTTATGAATTTAAATTAGGTGAAATGTTTATGAAAAATATTAACACTATTGGAATAAACTACAATACCCAGGCGTATCTGACCAGAACTGTGTCACTGACGTTTTGATAAAGCATGCTGGGTATATTTCTCTTTCTTTCCGGCAGGTACGCCATCATGTAAGCGAGCATTTTATAATTTTTCAGTATGTACAATCCATAGAAAATCTGCATTAAAACATGACCATCGGGTTGTATAGTTATGGATTTAGTTAACGGAATGCTTAGTTAATAACACAATACCTCAATTTCTGCATTAGTATGTGAAAATATGAATGTTGCATTGTGTATCCGAAGTAGTGCACGGGTCTTATATCGGTCGCCTATGCATTGCCTAGGAGCGAGGTTAGAAAGTTGCTAGACATTGACATTCAGTGTTACAGGTTTTACTTATAAATATTTTAGCTTTACCGGTTGTTTACTGTGGAGTGCTAGCCGGCTAACTATCCAGTGTGTAGGACTGTTGCCATCGGGGCCTACCGCGAGCCTCCTACTACCAGAAGACTGATTTACAGGGGATCTTGAATTAAACAGAAATTTGCCCAAAAGCACTTGCCCGTAGACTCCCATTAATACACGCTACATTAAATGTATCCCGAAGATGTCGTTCATGACTTGACTATTTAAAGATAGTACGCTGTAAACAAAGTAAACGTGTTGGCTAGTTAACATGTAGCCAACTTGCCCATATCAGGGCTTTGAATGAAGATTAGCTAGTTGTCGGTTGCCGTATTTTTCCTCCAACTAAGTTAACGGCTAAATCGCTGCATTTAATGGTGATCGTTACATATTTATATTTACCCTTTGTCACAGTTAATCCAACATGGGAGCGTACAAATATATGCAGGAGCTATGGCGCAAGAAGCAGTCCGACGTGATGCGCTTTCTCCTGCGCGTCCGTTGCTGGCAGTACCGTCAGCTCTCCGGTCTCCACCGTGCGCCTAGACCCACCAGACCCGACAAGGCCCGCAGACTGGGGTACAAGTGCAAACAAGGTGGGTGACGGTTCCAATCAAATCGAAGCATGCAGAATGAAGCTTCTTGTGTAACGTTATAGACTCGTGTAACTTTGCAGTAATGCTTATCTGTTGCATGCTTGTGCTTCATAGTTGATCATTTCTCACGCATGTCACCTTTGACCCTCAAGTTTGCCACATGTCTGAGGGAGGGTGTATGATGTATTGGTTTGATAAGTTGAAGATGTAACATAATAATAATATGCCATTTAGCAGACGCTTTTATCCAAAGCGACTTACACTCATGTGTGCATACATTTTTACGTATGGGTGGTCCCGGGGATCGAACCCACTACCCTGGCGTTACAAGCGCCATGCTCTACCAATTGAGCTACAGAGGACCACTATATATATTGTTTATTTGTAGCCCTATTGAAGTTGCCTGTTTGTGGTTTTGTAAATACATGCGAGTGACTTATCTGTTTAGAAGTGTTGCTTCACATGAAAGGTGGACCAAGTGGTTGTGCCATTTGTTCTCTTTTATTCCTTGACATGTCGCTGATGTCTTATGACAGGCTGTCATTTACTCTGTCCTTTATTTGAAATATCATTGATCTCTTCCTGATCTCTCTCCATGTGACAGGCTATGTCATCTACCGTGTCCGCGTTCGCCGTGGAGGCCGCAAACGCCCCGTGCCCAAGGGTGCCACCTACGGCAAGCCCGTCCACCATGGTGTCAACCAGATCAAGTTTGCCCGCAGCCTCCAGTCCACTGCTGAGGTAAGAGTTTCTGTACAGGTGCATCTCCCAGGTTGTGGTCTGATTCTCATCCCTTCTCCCCAAATGTTGCATTTGCTCACTTTTTTTAGGACTTGAAAAGCATAGTATTGGTGTAAGCTTGGGCTAGAGGTTTTTTAATACAAAGACAATCTTACATCAGTCAGTATTGATTTAAATCCATGAGGGATAGTGATAGCACACTTCAGGGAGAAGTTACAAAGACCTGCACAAGGATGTCACTGAGATCTGACTTAACTTTCCAAATCTACCCTTGCCTCTGCTTCTAGGCACTTGTGCAGATATGAATGCATTGGACAGGTACAAGTAATTTCATATCTGCCCCATTGCCCTCTGATAGGCATGATGGCATTTGCTATTTTGCTTACGGTGGTGCTCTTTTCTGAAACAAGGCTCACATTCCAAATTGAACCCGTTTCATCAACACCAATAATGCATCCTCTCAATGTGGTTAATGATGCTCAACTTTTTTCCCCATCTTATCGACTATGGTGAAACCAGTCTGAAATAAGCCAATTTGTCTGAAACCACATTAGAGAAAATAATGCATTCTTTCCAAAAGTATCTTTGTTGTATTTAAAACGGTGTTGTATTGAAAACTAAGTGAATAGTATTCTCTTCACATTGGACTTGGTGATTACTTTAATGTTGAGGCAAATCCATATGTTGTATAGCTCCATGTGTATGTGTCAGTCTCAAATGAATGTGAAACATGGGGCACTGGGATTTCATCATTTTAGGTCTTTCCCATACATTTTAGATTGTATCATATAGCTAGAATTGCGCAACAGATGGTGTGGGTGAGAGGTAAAGGAAGAAAGGGAATTGAAGGTGGCATAACTGGGGTTAATACCCCTGCCGCAGGGGGCCATGCGTAGTCTGGGGTTGGCAGTGCCGTCACTAGACCAGACCCGGAACATTGCAAATCAGTGATTAACATTTATACTGGAGTTTCTGGACGTGACTTGTCTGACCTGCTTGGTCTTTGGTCTCCCCAACAGGAGCGTGCTGGCCGTCACTGTGGAGGCCTGAGGGTGCTAGCGTCCTACTGGGTAGGAGAGGACTCCACATACAAGTTCTTCGAGGTGATCCTGATCGACACCTTCCACAAGGCTATCAGACGCAACCCCTGACACCCAATGGATCACCAGGCCCGTGCACAAGCACAGGGAGATGCGTGGCCTGACGTCTGCGGGCAAGAAGAGCCGCGGCCTGGGCAAGGGCCACAAGTTCCACCTGACCATGGGTGGTTCCCGCCGGGCAGCCTGGAAGAGACGCAATACCCTGCAGCTGCACCGCTACCGCTAGAGGGTGTCTACATTTAAATAAATAAAAACATGCCTCCTTTTTATGGTGACAAATTGTTGGTCTGGTGTGTAAGAGCTGTTCATCATTTTGGGTGTAGAAGCTGCCATTTGATGTCTTGGACGATAAAGGGATATAGATAGTGGTTAGTAACTAGGATAAGCGAAGCTGACAGACTAGCAATTTCACGGACTTGTGAAATGTGGTTTATGGAAATGCACCCTGTCAGAACTATTGACCAATATGACAGCGAGTGTAACTGATCTGAACCAGTGTCTACAGTTCACACATTGGTTTACACCTCAGGGGCTCTTTGTCATTACATCTAGGTCAGGGGTATTCAACTCTTACCCTACGAGTCCGGAGCCTGCTTGTTTTCTGTTCTACTTGATTCATTGTACCCAGGTCTAAATCAGTCCCTGATTAGAGTGGAAGAATGGGGGGGAAATATACAGTGGAACTGGCTTTGAGGTCCAGAATTTAGTTTGAGGGATCTAGGTTATCCCTAGGATGGGTTTAACAATGTGTTTTGGGGGATAATAGTATAAGTAACCTGGGGGGCTTGGGTGTCTGCACTTAGACGAGGACCACTAGTCTCAACAGTGAAACTCCTCGTGGTGTTGAATCTATAGTTCAGGATCACCAGGAAATGTCACATAAAAATGTTTTTTTAGGTCTGATATGGCAGGTAGCCTAGAGAGCAGGGCTCTAAACACTTTCTGGAGAGCAACTGTCCTGTAGGTTTTCTTCAACTAATAGCTGGTTGATAAGCTGAATCAGGTTGGTTACAACTGGGGTTGGACTGAAAACATACAGGACGATAGCTCTCCAGGAAGTGGGTTGGAGAGCATCTGGAGCAGGGGTGTCAAACTCATTCTGGGGGGGGGGGGGGGGGGGGGGGCTGAGTTGAGTGCAGGTTATTCGTTTCAATTAAGACCTAGACAGCCAGCTGAGGGGAGTTCCTACCTAATTAGTGACCTTAATTCATCAATCAAGTACAAGGGTGGATTGAAAACCCGAGGACACTCGGCCCTCCGTGTAGTGAGTGACTTGATCTGGAGGGTGGCTGGTTTGAGTCCCAGGTCAGAAGGGAAAATCTGTTCTCCAAGATAATAGAAAGTATTGTTTTCTCATTCGATAAAATATATTTTTCACTCAACTGACAATGTATGGAGTAGTATACTGGGGCTAAATGCCAGTTTAATTATAAAATCTCAACTGGAAGAGATGTAAGTTAGACTAAAAACACCTTAATATCACACATTAGTCTGCTCAACGTTAGGCACAAGTTTACAGCTAAATAGTAAAGTAACACGATATGAAGTACTGACCCTCCCTTAACCTCCTGTTGCACCACTACTCAGTTCTAAGTAAAGATGCAGGCTTCAAAGAAAATACACTGAAAGGTCTCAAAAGCTAGAGCAGCAAGGGGGTTGAGTTGGAGAACAATGTTTCGGTCATTTATAGAAATTTCTCCCAGGCCCATTGTTAATACACACATTTAGCTGGGGGCACGGCAGTGTTCAGGTCACCCATGACCTGGTGACCAGAATTCCACCAAAAAAGAAACTGGAGGAAGGCATGGGCTTGTCTGCTCTTTATTTATTTCAGGGTGGTGGCAGAAGAAACCAGGGAAATGGAAGCTGGTCAGGACAGCTCTGCCTTGGGATATGGCTGCACCAAACCCAAGAAGGCAGCTTGGTAAGGTGGGGTGGTGGTTTCCATGTCTGTCAGACAACTAAGTGAAGCAGAAAATCTGCAAAGCTAACATCAAATTCTCTTATTCAAATCAATGTGTGTCACTGTTGTATTTTAAGTGAACTTCCATTGTCCTTGGAGAATTGTTGAATGTCCTCATTCTACTTAAATTTCATTCCCTGTTCTTGCACTGACCTTGGTTGAAAATGTAGCCACATTATTCTTGTCGACAACTTTGACAATGAAGTGTGTGGGAAATAAAGTGAAACAGCTCATGTCAGAGTCAGTTTGACCTGTTCTGGGACAGAGGGTACTGCTGGAGAAATTGTGGTTCATCCCAGTTCAACCAAGGTGCATGGATTCAGGAACAGAGTTATTGAGAGGTTTTCAACCACTCTTGGGGTTCCATTTGTCCCTCGAGTGGTTGAATATAATACCTCCCATATATCTAGTGGATGCTAGAGTAAGGTCACGCAGCTACTCTATTTCATTGATGTCACACAGGACAATTAGTGGCTTGCGAAAGTATTCACCCCCCTTGGCATTTTTCCTATTTTGTTGCCTTACAACCTAGAATTAAAATTGATTTTTTGGGGGGTTGGTATCATTTGATTTACACAACATGCCTACCACTTTGAAGATGCAAAATATTTTTTTGTGAAACGAACAGGAAATAAGACAAAAAAAACTGAACTTGAGCGTGCATAACTATTCACCCCCCCAAAGTCAATACTTTGTAGAGCCACCTTTTGCAGCAATTACAGCTGCAAGTCTCTTGGGGTATGTCTCTATAAGCTTGGCACATCTAGCCACTGGGATTTTTGCCCATTCTTAAAGGCAAAACTGCTACAGCTCCTTTAAGTTGGATGGGTTCCGCTGGTGTATAGCAATCTTTAAGTCATACCACAGATTCTCAATTGGATTGAGGTCTGGGCTTTGACTAGGCCATTCCAAGACATTGAAATGTTTCCACTGGGACTCGAGTGTCGCTTTAGCAGTATGCTTAGGGTCATTGTCCTGCTGGAAGGTGAACCTCCGTCCCAGTCTCAAATCTCTGGAAGACTGAAACAGGTTTCCCTCAAGAATTTCCCTGTATTTAGCGCCATCCATTATTCCTTAAATTCTGACCAGTTTCCCAGTCCCTGCTGATGAAAAACATCCCCACAGCATGATGCTGCCACCACCATGCTTCACTGTGGGGATGGTGTTCTCGGGGTGATGAGGTGTTGGGTTTGCGCCAGACATAGCGTTTTCCTTGATAGCCAAAAAGCTCAATTTTAGTCTCATCTGACCAGAGTACCTTCTTCCATATGTTTGGGGTGTCTCCCACATGGCTTTTGGCGAACACCAAACGTGTTTGCTTATTTTTTTCTTTAAACAATGGCTTTTCTCTGGCCACTCTTCCGTAAAGCCCAGCTCTGTGGTGTGTACGGCTTAAAGTGGTCCTATGGACAGATACTCCAATCTCCGCTGTGGAGCTTTGCAGCTCCTTTTGGGTTATCTTTGGTCTCTTTGTTGCCTCTCTGATTAATGCCCTCCTTGCCTGGTCTGTGAGTTTTGGTGGGCAGCCCTCTCTTTGCAGGTTTGTTGTGGTGCCATATTTTTTCCATTTTTTTAATAATGGATTTAATGGTGCTCCGTGGGATGTTAAAAATTTCGGATATTTTTTTATAACCCAACCCTGATCTGTACTTCTCCACAACTTTGTCCCTGACCTGTTTGGAGAGCTCCTTGGTCTTCATGGTGCCGCTTGCTTGGTGGTGTTGCAGACTCTGGGGCCTTTCAGAACAGGTGTATATATTCTGAGATCATGTGACACTTAAATTGCACACAGGTGGACTTTATTTAACTAATTATGTGACTTCTAAAGGTAATTGGTTGCACCAGATCTTATTTAGGGGCTTCATAGCAAAGGGGGTGAATACATATGCACGCACCACTTTTCCGTTATTTATTTATTATAATTTTTTGAAACAAGTTATTTTTTCCATTTCACTTCACCAATTTGGACTATTTTGTGTATGTCCATTACATGAAATCCAAATAAAAATCCATTTAAATTACAGGTTGTAATGCAACAAAATAGGAAAAACTTAAAGGGGGATGAATACTTTTGCAAGGCACTGTAGTCCATTATTTTCCTCCTTGGTTAGTTATATGAAAACACTAGTATACAGATCTGATCTGTGATTGCTGTGCTTTGCTAGATGTGATGTCTACTTTGATGCATGTGTTTCGACCTACACCCAAATATCTACATTTTGCCCTCGTTCCTGAGTAAAAAAACAAGCTGTTACGTGTGTGTGGCATTCTGAATGCTTCTGCCCTCACGTTGCCTCCCCTCTCTGTGGCCTCTGCCTCACCTCTTGGACACGAGGATCACTTTTCTCCTAACATTGCCTATATGGCCTAAATGTTTAAATTTAGGCCACAGTGAGAGTGTAGGCTACCGAAGAGACCGTTAGCAGCATTGTTACAGTATTAAAACAGTTTTGGGTTCAGTTTAGTGGAGGTGAAACAAAGGTCACCATAATACTATAGCAAGCCTTGCCTAGGTGGGTTTGTTACAACTTGTAGCAGTAGTTAGCAAGTGTGCCTGTGTGCTGTTCTCTATAGAGAGCATTCTTTCCCAATTCATTTTCACCATAGGTATGGCTGAACAAACCAGAGGTAACTGATTGCCGGGTTTTAGGACTACAAGCTGGCGAGCTCTATTACACACATGAAATTGTTGAAAATAATGTAAACATTTCAAAAACATGTATTGGACTGTGTAAATAAGCCTTTGCTGTCAATGTGAGAATGCATTTGATAATATAATAATAATATATGCCATTTTGCATATATATTATTTTAATGTGTGAACATTTTAAACTGCTTGATGTATTACATTCTTGAAATCATGAGAGCTCAATATCTGTGGGAAAAATCTAGTCATTATTTCTGATTTTATGCTTCAGTGCATTCAATTTGTTGGAGAAATATTGTTTTTTGCTGCTATACTATAGGCAAAAATACTCAGTCCAGTGGCGGCTGCTGAGGGGAGGATGGCTCATAATAATGGCTGGACGGAGCAAATGGAATGGCACCAACCACTTGGAAACCATGTGTTTGATGTATTTGATACCATCCCATTAATTCTCCTCCAGCCATTACCACGAGCCCGTCCTCCCACATTAAGGTGCCACCAACCTCCTGTGCTCCAGTCCAATTTTGAAGGTGGGATGCTGATATGGGGGTGATGCTCTCCTTTAGTGCCCTTGCTTCGGACCATCCCCCCACTTTGTAAAAAGTGTGTCAGTGGG